TTGGAAGCCTGGTATTCAGACAAGGTAGCAACTAACAGACACATAGAGATAAACAGCATCTACATACTATTCAAAAGAGACAAAAGATCGCCTCACCAGCAATCATCACCCAGAAAAGCAAAGGTTACCACCAGGCACACAATCAAGCAGTGAACAATACCCTAATCAAGGAACTAGCAGAGGAGCAAAACAAAACCCCCACCCCACCAGCACTGGCAAAGCAAGCCACAGTATATAAATAGAGAGCAAACCTCATCCCATTTTAGCACTGAAGATGTTACGTAGCTGGGTAATGAAACATTTGCAAGAAAAGAACCAAGCTCAGAGAACCCCAAGGACTCCAGGGTTCTCTGCTTTTAGTACTGAGAAACCCAGTACCACTGAGAGAGAGCCTGAGGGCACCAAGCAAACAGAAAGATCTATCCCAGCTGATTTATTGTCATGCATTTTTGAAGAATATCTGCAGAACTCAGAATGTTCCTTTTTTTATCCCTCAGCCCCAGGAGTTGAAAACTTACAGAAATAAGAAAATACACCTGCAAGTATTTGCAGGTAGCAAATTAACAGCTTGGTTTCCAGTTATAGCATTCTTAATTTTCATTCATTTAACCCTGAACCCCAGTAGCAAAGTGGAGTGGAGACTTCCATCAGGACCATATGCAGGTTGAATCCTTCCCTCCTTAGCTATCAGGTCAACAAAAATGGTCTGTCTCCTCGCAGAAAAAATTATCTTGGCTCACAGTATAAACATCTGGTAGAAGCTATAATGATGTCATAGGCATTGCACATGTCATTGTTGTGCAAATGATGTAATTGTTGGGTTCTTGCTGTTCTCTGTGCTTGGAATTTTCCTTGCAGACATTAATTGCTTTGGTAACATCATCAGTGGACTGATGTAGAGAAGGAATGTTGTTCAAATCCAGAAAAATTGGTCTGGGGGGGTTTCACTGATCGAAAAAAATCCTGCCCATTGCACATTTTCAGGACAAATTTGTATTGGTTTTATCATATTTCTGTTTAATTGCTTAGCCCTCCACCCCATGGGAATTAACATTTGCTGCTCCTCAAAAATGACATTTCTTGTAATTCCCCAGGAGAAGGAATGATGGCTAAATCAATGTAGATGTGCAATAGTGAACAATCCCTTTGGCACCCCAGATTTTATTTTTACTCACTCCTTTCCCATGGCAATTTTTTTCTGCATCACAAGTCAGTCTTATTATTGCTCGATCTACACACTTCTGATTCATGCAAATCTTACAAAGGAAAAAGGAAAAAAAATAAAAATAAATTATTTCACCAAGTCAGACACTGAAACTTATGCTGGATGAGATAGTAAGATTAAGTGGTAGAATTGAGAATCGTTTTGGATTGTCGTATCTTTTAATGTCTCCAGCCCTGCATTTAAGATTGTTTAAAAATTAACATATTGGAGGGTTTGCATAATCCAGTAATATGCTATTGTCCATGGAACTTTTTATGTGAAAGGAAGATTAAAAAATACAAATTCTCTCTGCCTTTTGATGTGATCCAGAACCTCTATAACTTCACTTAGGCTATTTGTGAGTCTTACCATATGTTATTACTATCATTATTTAGAGCCGTGTTTCTCAACCTTGGCAACTTTAAGATGTCTGGACTTCAACTCCCAGAATTCCCCAGCCAGTATGCTTGCTGGGGAAATTTGCGAGTTTGAATCCACACGGC